ACAGCTCCTGCCAAGTGACTCTCTCCCGTGGCCAAGCGACAGCTGTCCCCAGGTTCCAGTAATCACTCCTGCCCCCGGCCCCTTTAGACCTGGGGTGTTAGTGACTCCTCACTGCTGCTGGTCTGGGGTTCCCTAAACTCCGTCCACCGCTCTAAATAGTTCCCTCATTAAACTCTCTTTAGGGACCCCTTTGAGTGAGCCATCTGTTTCCTGCCAGGACTCCTGAGCCAGGGGGTCCAACACCTACAGAGGCCACTCACCTCTGTTTGATTTTGTTGGCTGCCACATAAGGGCCCTTCTGCATCCAGGCTTTGCACTGCCCCCGTGGTTCTAGAAGCGTCACTCTGGGTAGGATTTCTCCCCTGCATCACTGGGGACCATCTTCAGCTCCTCGCTATCCCCTGGCACCACTGGACTTTAAAAGGGTGGAGCCGTGGTGTCCGGGCACTCCAGTGTCAAGTGGCAGGAAGCTTCTCAAACTCCCTCCAGGCCAATGGAGGAATTTTTGGGGCAGATTTGGGGGTGTCCCTCACGGACCGTAAGGACAGGGAGCTTAGGCAGGTCTCATGGGGTAGGTTCAAGAGGACCAAGACAGTTTCTTTCTCTGTGTGTACCTTCTGTCTGTCCACTGTGTGTCCCTCTGTCTGTCTAGGCCGTCAGCCTCTGTCCCTGTTGGTGTGTTTATCTCTGTGTCTCGGCCTCTCTCCACCTCTCTCCACCTGTCTTTGTCTCTCTGTGGTCTGTGTGTTTCTCTGTCTCTGTCTCTGCTTCTCTGTCGGGGGCTCTCTTTCTCAGGGCCTGGGTGAGGTGCCCGGCGCGTGCCACTGAAGGAGGCACTTGCCCTCAGGTGCCCTGGGGACCTCGCCTGCCTTAGCCTGGTCCAGGCCCGGCTTTTCCCTCTGTCACCCCTTCTCTCTCTGTCTCCCTATTTCTTTGTCTCTCTGATGCCCTCATAGAGCCGAGGGGTTGTTTCTCTCTTGCCACAAGGTCTCCGGCCCCTGCTCATTTCTGTCCTTCAGTGGCCTGACCTTTCGCCTCCCAGGCACACGGCTAAGTCGGTCGCCACCTGCATGTTCCCCGGTCCAGCACGCGGCATCTCTGAGTGCACTTTTTAGTCCCAGGAGAGGGAATGTAGCCCAGCTTCGGCTCAGCCATCCACACCTCGCGCAGTTGGCTGTGGCCGGGGGCCCGGCTCCCCTCCCCTCGGTGGGGCTGACTACGGGCTCTCTGAGGAGGGTGCGGGTGGGGGGCTGAGCCACAAAGGGCCCGCTTGGTCCCTCCACCAGTGTGCAGTGTGGCACAGGAGCACCCTCACTGCCAGGACACAGACAGCCTTGCCCTGGGGCCTTGCCCTGGGGATTGGGGGAAAACTAAGTTCGAGAACAGGGAGGGATACGTTCCCCTCCCACCGCCTCGCCCCATCTCCTGGTTCTTTAAATGCGTCGAGCGTCATGCTGCCTCCTCCTCAGACGTCCCGGTTCCTCCAGCTGTATCTGCAGAAAAAGGAGTCAGCTCCCATTTTGGGGTTCCGGTTTCAGATGTCAGAGTCGTGTGTGGTGAAAACACTCTGCTGTTTTTCACCCGACTGTGGCCAAATGCTTTAGAGAATTCAAGAGGCATCGGGAAGCAGGAGGCAGCAGCCTTGACTCTGGGGACGAAAGGAGAGCCTGGAAGAGGGCAGGGAGTCTCCAAATAGTCCCAGTTGAGGGGCGCAGGTCTCGGCACAGCCCCAGTTAGCTGGGAGAATGGAGAAGGCGCAGGGGCCTGCCGAACTGCGGGCTTGTTTCTGGCTGGGCCTCAGCAGCTGCTTTCTTCATCTCTGGGCAGCTCTTAAACAGCAGCAGGAGGATTTAGGGAGACAGGGCACAGCGTCAGCAGGGAAGGTGTGGGGATGGGGCTCTGGGCCACGTCTTGCCTTACTGGGAGACGGCAGCCGAGGTGGGGCATGGGCGCAGGAGAGGCCTGGGGGCAGGTTTGGAGGCTGTTAGGGGCTGCGGAACTGGGGGCTTTAGGCCTAAGCACACCCTGGGTTCTTTCCGGGCCTGCTTAGGATTGATTCGCGCAGACCTGCCACAGCCTTCGGGGCCTGCACCCCCGAATGTAGACTCTGCCTTCAGCCAACGTGCTTCTGGGGAAGGCAAGACCCAATCCCAAGCTTCGCTGGTACAGAGAGAAGAGACCATGCCTGCAGAGAAGGCTCTGTGAGCGCTGGGGAAAGGCTATGCAGAAGCAAACATGGGCAGTAAGTCATTTTGTAGCTAAAGAATCCAGGCCTGTGGCATCTTTCTCTGGAATCCTTTATTACCTTCATTCATCTGAGCCCCTACTGAGTGCCGGCACTGCGCCAGCTGCTGGGCATGTGCAGGTTCCCGTCCTCCAGACCAGCAGGGGAAACAGGGACTCCACAAACCAAGGTTTTTGTTGGGATGTGATTCTTACAGTGCTGTAGCGGCATAGAAAAAGCAGTCAATTCTGTCTGGGCAGCCAAAGAGCCTTCCTGGAGGAGGTGACATTTACTCCTGCAGGCTGAGTCAGGGTTTACCGAGTGGGACAGGAAGGATCTCTCAGTCAGGGCCGAGAGGGCCAGGCTGGCTTGGAGGAGGGTGAGACATTTGGAGTAGAGGGTGATGGCAGGGGAGGACTCATGTGGCTGGACAGGGGAGGTGGAACAGCCCCCAATCTGGGCATCAGCCTGGTCCAATCCATCTCTTAAACTTCCCTCCAGCTGCTGCTGCTCCTGCTTTCTGTGCAGTGAGGCCCTGCGCGACATGGCGGAGGGAGCTGGGGCTCGGAGGCCAGAGGTGGGGAGGGCTGGAGGCCCCGCGTGCCCGGGCTGCACACATCACCTTGGCAGTTTGTGGGCAAACCCTCTTGGCCGAGGGGAGATTGCACTGCCTGCCACTTCCTCCAGTTCCTTCCCCTGCCTGTCGTCACGGTTACCTCGTCCTCCTTGGGGGTGAGCTTGAGGTTGGGCGGAATCAGTTTGGGCCAGGTTTCTCTTTTCCCAGACGCGGGTCAGCCAGAGGAGCTGTCACTTCTGGTTGGGTTTCAAAGGAGGCCATGGGCTGGGAGGTGCTGGGTGTGGTGCTGTTGACAAGGCGCCTCTCCAGCAGCCTCCCAGGTGGGGTGGGCGTGGGGCAGGGGAAGCTCGGGGGTGGCGGGCAGGGGAAGAGGGCTGCCCTGCCAGGGCCTGTGCCGGTGGTGCTGGTCTCAGGCCCAGGCCCTCTGTCCTGGGCTCCCAGGGCATGCCGGGAGTGTGCAGAGAGAGGCTGTTTATTTTCCTGGCCTGTGGCCCTCTGGGCTGAGACGTTGTTCCAGGCCTTGGGCTGCCAGAGTCACCACCCCCTGCTCCCCCCGCAGCTGGAGAAGTGAGAGAATTGGCAAGCCCAGGACAATCCAACAACTCCTCCAGTGGCCTCTGACTCTGGGCTGTCCCCAGCCCAGCCCACACAGCCCCCGTGTGTCCTTCAGATTTTCTTGGTAGGTAATGGATGGCGAGAGGTGCCATGTCAAAGTGCTTCTGATGGCCTGGGGCTGCAAGGGCCAATGGTCAAGCAGGAAGGTTGAAACCGGAGAAATCTGAACTCAAATCCTGGCTCTGCTGCTTCCTGGTCGAATGGCTAGTTGTATGGCCTTGGGCAAATTGAGCTATTGAGCCTCGGTCTCACTGTCTGTAAAATGGTACAGTAATAGCACCTTCCTCACAGGACTTGGATTATGAAGATGAAATAACATGTTTAAAGCATTTAGCAAAGTAGCCAACAAATGCCACCTCTTATTATTACTAATGAACAATAACAGCAACTTTGATTCAAAGTCTGTGTTGGGGAGCAGTGAGTTTCCTCCTTCCCATTTCATGGGTCCTATTTCATGCACGGTGAACTTCCTAACGTGTCCAGGGGGAGAAGCAAGCCTGGAGACTCAGGAGGCCCATCGCTTGTGCCCCTGGGGCCCCAGCTCTCTCACAGGTGAGCATCCTTGCAGAGGAACATGCAAGGGCAGGGAAAAGGGTTAAAGCCAGGTGAAGAGATGGTTAGCAGCAGAAAGAAATAGATCCGAGCATTTGGGCGGATCAAGAGAGAGGAGTATTGGGTATGGAGGAGCAGTGAAGGTTGAAAATCCCAACGGAGGGTAAGGGGGTGGGGAACAAAGGCAGCCACGGAGGGGAGATGGGGTGGGAATCGAATGTGGGACCTGGGTCCGTGCCCAAGGCATTGTAAAGGAAGTGCCTGGGAACTGCTGGCCTGGAAAATCGCGCCCAGAAGGCTTGGGCTGGGCAGGAGAACAGGCTGTCACCACCCGCTGGGTGCCACCTCTGTGTGAGTAGACTCGCCAGGCTCCCGGCCTCCTGAACTCTGGCAGAACCCAGGTGTCTGTCTTGGTCTGTTTTGTGTTTTATTCTATAACAGAACACCCCATCCTGAGTAATTTATAATGAGCAGAAATTTTTTGGCTCACAGTTCTGGAGGCCGGGAAGTCCAATGTCAAGGTGCCGACATCTGGCGAGGGCCTTCTTGCTGCGTCATCCCAGGGCAGAAGGCAGAAGGCAGAAAGCAAGAGAGTGCAAGAGGGCAAGAGAAGGCCGAACTTGCTCTTATAACAAGAGCTCACTGTCCACACGTCAGCATTAATCCATTCGTGAGGACAGGGCGCTCGTGACCTAACCACCTCTCGAAGGTCCTACTGCTCGACGCTTTTGCACTGGGGATTAAGTTTCCAACACAGGAACTTGGGGGACTCACTGAAACCACAGCAGTGTCCTGCCCTTCTGGGACACTGACTCCTCTCCAGGATGCCCACACGCTCTGAGAGGACCCCTAGACTGGCTGGGAGACGTCTCCATCTCTCTCGCCGGTGAGGCTGGCGGACAGTGACTGCTCCCTCACTGTCAAGGAGGGGGTCAGGAAGGGGGAATTGTCCCTCCGTCTGTCTGTGTGTCGGGAGGGAAGCTACACTCCAGGCCTGCCTCATGTCTAATCCGTGGCTCTGTGCCCTCACAGCTAGACGAGGAAGAGGAGCGAAGGAAAAGGCGCCGGGAGAAGAACAAAGTCGCAGCGGCCCGATGCCGGAACAAGAAGAAGGAGCGCACGGAGTTTCTGCAGCGGGTGAGCGGGGCAGCTGGCCGGGCGCGGGCCTGCCCATTCCTCAGAGAGGGCTCGTGCACTCTGGGCCAGGAGAGGCCGTCAAATGACGCGCAGTCGTTGTGCACCTGCTGGCAGCTGCCCAGGCAACCTCGGCCCCTCCGGTCCTCCCCGCCTCCCATCTAATACCAGCCCCCCACCAAGACAGGCCAGCCTGCAGCAATTCCTGCCCATGTTCACCCCCTGGAAGCCCAGAGAAGGAAGGAGGGGTCAAGTTCCCCTCTGCGAGGTTAGACCCTTAGTGCTAACTGACCAGGATGACCCAGGACTGCTACTACCCATTTTGGTCCCCTGGTAGCTACCGAAGGTGTCTAGGGTGGGTGCTAATGGAGCTAGGAGGTAACATCCTGCATGTGGCAGAGAACACAGCCCCTGGGCCGGCTACTGGCTCAGCCAGCCCTGGATCCCATCTGGCCAGCCCCTCAGCCCCACTGAAGATGGCCCCTGAGCTCTTTGCTGCTGTCCCCAGAGATCAGAGGTCAGCTCTGCCTCCAGAGGTCAGCCGGGAGTGGGGGCCTTTCCCTCCGGCCCAACCGCCCCTTCAACCGGAAGGGGCCAAACAAAAGGGTTGGTCCTTCCCCCCCCCGAAGCCCGGCCCCCAAAACCCCCCTGGAATTTGGGAAGGCCAGGGCAAGGGGGAACAAGGCCAAAAAACCCAACAAGCCAAAACGGGAAGAAGCCCAACCCCCCCAACCCCCATCACTGGTTCATCACTGAACAATGATAATAACCATGTATAATAATAACATAACGGGTCAGGTGCCATTCTACAAGTATGCGATAATTAACAATAGTTGCCAGTATTTGTAAAGTTGGGCACGGTGCTAAGTGCTGTGTGTGCCTTATCTCATTTCATTGGCATAAGAACCATGAGGTGGGTGACTTCATTATTCCCTTTCTACAGAAGAGGAAACTGAGGCACAGTGAGGTTAAGTAACTTGCCTCTTGGTCGCCTCTCAGCAACCGAGTGGTAGCACTGAGAGTCAAGCCTGCAGCCAACCTCAAAGCACCTGTCCCTTGCTATATTGGCTCTGCTTCATTCATTTATCCTTTTGTTTGTTCGCTGATTCAACAAGTGTCGTGAGGATGTACTAAGTGCCCTGCGCTGTGCTGGGTGCACCAGGGGACATACAGGAGGGGCAGACATGGGCTCCCTGTGGGAGCTGGGGAGACAAGGCAGGGTTGGCCTCGTGTTTTTGGACACTGGGGGTCTGTGGATCTCTTCTCATGCTCACAACAAGCAGAGAGCTATCCTGAGGCCATGGTGGGGACAGCGTAGGGCCATGTGTATCCCTCCAGGCTGCAAGTGTCTAGGGCAGGGCAATGGTTATTGTAGGCAGGAGATAGACCCCCAGAACGACCTTGAAAGAGGTGGTGGCACAACATTGGGCTGGAAGTTTTCAAGAAGTTTCTAAGATGCTTCAAGACAGATGGGGTATTGCATAGCTCATTTCCAGCACCAGGTGCCTGCCATGGCAGCACTGGGCAAGGCACCACAGGGAGTAGAGAAGCTTCACATAAGGTCCCTGCCTTTGAGGCTGGCCAGCCAGTTGGCAGCAAGACAGGCCCGAGTGCACAGCACGCCAGTAACACACCGGCACAATAAACGTGTCAACTAAACAACACTCGCTGCTTCTCACATTCTGGTAGCACTTGCTGAGCACCTACTGCGTGCCAGGCATTTCACGTGTCTCATTTAATCCTTATAACATTCCAGTGAGGTGAATATTAATTAATTATCCCCATTTTAGGGACTGACCTGTAGCTCAGAGAGGTCAAGTTGCTTGCCCAAGGTCACGGTGCTAGCAAGCCCTGGGCTCGGATTCATCCACCCATTTCCTGATCCATCCGCCCAGCCAGCAAGTGTTAGCAAGTGTCCCCTGCACAGCGGACAGGCGGACGAGGTCTGCGGTGGGATGGCAGACAGGAAACGAGGAATGGTGACGTGGGCTGAGCCTTACGCTGAGCAAGCCCGGCGAGCTGGGAGATCACTCAGCAGGGGCCCTGTCCCAGCCTAGGCAGAGGAAAGACTGCTTCAACTGAGACGTGGAAGAGAGTAGGAGCTAAGGAGATGTCAGGGGTTACCAGGAGCGGCACAAGCACAGGCACAAGGTATCGTTTAGGGGTGTGTTTAGGCCCTGGAAGAATGTCGGGTGGCTGGAGTTCTGAGTACTAAGTCGGGGAGTGGAGAGGCAGGCAGGGCCCAGATCCTTCCTGTGTAGGGTCGGCCTGTGTGCTGGATTGCCCGGGACACCCCAGTTTGTGCCTGTCGTCCTGGCCCAATGATTAGCAGCCCCTCTTTCGCTCTCACAAGTGTCCCCGTCAGGATGATAAAGTCTGTGGTCACGGAGAGCCATCGAAGGGTTTCCAGAGGGGAGAGGCATGCCTTCAAAAGATCCCTCTGCTGCAGTGTGGGCACAGATTCTGGTGGGGAGATTGGTTTCGGGGGGGTTGTGTTGTCCCAGTGAGAGAGAAGCGTGCAGCTTCGGGGCCTGGGAGGGAGATTTGGGCAGCACCGTCTGGGCCCAGGCCCCGTCCTCCCCTTACCCCCGTGCTCCCCTGCTGGCCTTGGAAGCGAGGTTGGGTGTGAGGTTTAGGGCACAGATGCAGATGGCCATGTTGATGGTCCGTGCCTGCAGACCTTGGGGATGTTCTCGTAATTTATTTTTAACAGATAAGATATTAAGATATTAACAAGGTATAAGATATAAGATATTAACAAGGCTACGAGGTACCTATATTATTAATAGATATTAATTATTTATTAAATAAAGGAATACATATATGATTGGGATATATATGTATATATGTGTGTAATACATACACACACACATACAGTCAGCCTTCCATATCTGTGGGCTCCACATCCGTGATTCAACCAACTGAGGATCAAAAATATTTGGGGGACGGGCGCGGTGGCTCACACCTGTAATCCTAGCACTCTGGGAGGCCAAGGCGGGTGGATCGCTCAAGGTCAGGAGTTCGAGACCAGCCTGAGCAAGAGCGAGACCCCATCTCTACTAAAAAATGGAAAGAAATGATCTGGACAACTAAAAATACACATATATAAAAAAAATTAGCTGGGCATGGTGGCACATGCCTGTAGTCCCAGCTACTTGGGAGGCTGAGGCAGAAGGATTGCTTGAGCCCAGGAGTTTGAGGTTGCTGTGAGCTAGGCTGACGCCACGGCACTCACTCTAGCCCGGGCAACTCGAGACTCTGTCTCAAAAAAAAAAAAAAAAAAAATTGGGGGGAAAAAGAAACATCTGTATTGAACATGTACAGACTTTGTTTTCTTGTCAGTATTCCCTAAACAATGCAGCATAGCAACTATTTGCATAGCGTTTATATTGTATTAGGTATTATAAGTGATCTAGGAGTGATTTAATGTGTATGGGAGGTTATATGCAAATACTATGCCATTTTATATAAGGAACTTGAGCATCCTTGGATTTTGGTGTCCTCGGGGAGTCCTGGACCCAATGCCCCATGGATACTGAGGGAGGACTGTATATATCGATATATTATAAAAGTCACCCCACCACCACCCTTGACCCCTGGGCACCCAGATCCACCCCTGGGAGATTCTTACTACATCTCAGAGTTCACCTGCATAGACCAGCCAAAGCCCTGAACCCCAGGCAGAGGGCAGGCTTTGGGACGGGTCAGGCCGACACCCTGCAGGACCCTGGGCTACCTCAATATGTCCTCTGCCTGCAGTCAGAAGCAGTGGCCCTAGGCTTCTCCCTTCTCTCACACTGGCCTCTGTCGCGCTGCTGTGCCTAACACAGGTTCTCTGGGTATTGGTAGCAGTGATACCATCTCACGCTCTTCATCACCACCCTTGCCTTGAAGTCACAGCGACTCTCGGGGGAGGCGAGGCAATGACAAGCATCGTGAGGGATTAAAGGTTTCCTCAAGACAACACAGCAGCCGAGTCAGGCTACAACCCTGAACTTTCTCTACCGCCCAGCACGTTACTAGGGTGGCCCAGACTCAGAGAAATCGGGAAACTTGTCTGCAGAGGCACAGCTAGTGGGTAGCAGAGTCAGGGCTTCAATCCAGATAGGGTTTTTTGGCTCAGAAGGCCACATCAGGCTGCTTCCTAACTCTTACAAAAACTAAGTGGAATTCTGTTTTATGTGCTTTAGAGTAACTTTTATTTTCTTTTTATACATTCAGACAGTCTTAATGCTTAAGTCCCCTGGGCCAGTCATCATATTTTCTGGGAGGAAATTGAGCCCCAGAGAGGCAACGTCACTTTGCCAAGGTCACACAGCCAGGATGAAAAGCCAGGACCCCCAGCCCTGCGCTGGTATTTTCCTACCGCCTTTGCTGACTGCAGCGTAGGAGGCAGAAACTTAACTTGCATTAATTCTATTCTAAAACAACAAATGGTTTCATTTTCTCTAGGGCAATAAACATCTTCCAGAAGGCAAAACAATAAGCAAAAATGCAGAGCTATTCACTGCATAATTAACATGTGGAAGATCCTAGCCCAGTTCTTCATTAATTAGGAAAACAAATCAGGTAATTGCTATTATAAAGCCACAAACCACATCTACAACCGTGGTTAAAAAAGATTCTTCTGAACTTCAACTTATGCAGTAAATAAATATGTAGCACCAAGCGAAAGCTCCTTGAATACAGAAGGAAATAAAACTAAACAGCAGTTATTTACATTCTGACAGCCAAACAGTGGGAACTCAGGATATCCCATGATACGCTCTAACATTTTCCAGCCAACAGAATGTGATGCCATTCCTGTGATAACTGCACGTGTGAGGCAATCTGCCCCACACCTCGCTGGTCTTTCTGTGTGACGCACACAGGGTTGGTTTGACACGCGGTCGTTCCCAGCGGGTGGATCTGGGGGTGGCACCATTGAGTTCTGTCCGACGCTTCCCCTTGCATGTCCAGTTTGAACTTCAAACTCGCTGTACCCCACACCAAACTGCTTCCTCGTCCTTTCCCCTGCTCTCCAGAACAGCTTCGTCCCCGGCTCCATTCCCCGGACCCTTCCTGGGGCTCACAGTCAGCTCTCTGCGCTGTCTCCTTCCTTCTCCGAATCCAGGCAGTCACCAAGACCTGACGATTTTACTTGGAAACATCCTCCTTCTCTTCTTCTCTTTCCTCTTCCTACTGTTCTCTTGCTCATACGTTAAAGTAAAAATTCCTTAAGCCTCTCTAACCCTTTGGTTTACAAAATGCTTTTCCACGTGGGCTCATTTAATCCCCACAATCCTCGCCTTTTCACAGACAAGATAACTGAGACGTTAAGGAACCGGCTCTAGACTCTGATGCTAAACCCACAAGAGTTCCGGAGCCACAGGCCGGCTCTAAACTCACCACTGTGGCTTTGTGCCCTGCTATGTCCTAAAGTGAGCTGTGGTCACACTGGAACATTTTTCTCCTCTAAACACATCCTTAGTCTTCCCGTGTCTGTGTCCTTGTTCACTCAGGGCTGCCTACCTGAAAGTCCTCTGTATCTTCTCTACCCAACCAGAGTCACCCATCTTTCAAGCCCAAGGTCAAACCTGCTGTTTAGCCCTCTCTGACGGTCCTCCGAACCCTGGGTGGTGGTCACCCAGCAAGCTCCGCCCGGCCGTATGAATTTCTCCTTCCCCTTAGGGTGGAAGCTCCCCAAGGGCCATGCTGGGAGCTCATGGCGTTTGGAGCATTCACTGTATACAGCAGGTCCTCAGCAAATCTTCGTGGGTGGGTGGGTGGCTCTGAGATTCGTAGAGGCAGAGGCAGAGGAGAATTTGAAGACAGAGCTTCAGTTTGGCCTGGGGGGACCTGGGTAGTCAGAAGGTTTGTGAGAGGCTCCCAAGGTCACCGGTGAGTCAGACCCAGAGAGCAGGTGGCTAAAATTGGCACGTAAGTGCCCCGGCCTGAGGGGTCCCGTCCTTGTCCTCTGAGATGGACTTCTTTTCAGAATTCTGAGAACCGAGGACCAGGCCATCTTCCCAGTCGTGTCTCAGCCTGTTGAACTAAAAACCTCCATAGCTGGTGTTTAATATTTTCCCCCTGAGCAGTTTTTTCCTTTTGTGAGGCTGTTTTCTCTCTGCTTCTGGTCACGAGGCCTGCAGATCTCAGCAGTTCTGAGTTCCCTGGGCGCCCAGGCTGCCACCTCGGGGGTGAGCACATGGAATGATCTGGTCAGACCGGCTGGTGTGAGGAAGACAGCACTGTGGGGGGAGGGCGTGGGCCCCACCGAGGGCCCCGGAGACCCCAGGGGAGGCTGCTCCACCTGCACCCTGCCAGAGGGCAGGCGGGCCCTGGGCTCGCAGGCTGTCCGGGCATCACGCACGCAGCTGCAGCCATGGCTGCCATGGCTGCTCTTTGACTGAGACAGGTTTCTCAGTCTCTGCACTATCAACATTTTGGGCCAGATGGTTCTTGTTGCAGGGGCCATCCTGTGCCTTGTAGGATTTTGAGCGCATCCCTGGCCTCTCTCTGCTAGATGCCAGTGGCACCCTCCCCTGAGTTGTGACAACCAAACCAAAAATGTCTCTAGACATTGTCAAATGTCTCCTGGGAGGCAAAATCACTCCTAGTTGAGAACAACTGATCTAAAACTTTGCTGGCCCCTGAATAAATTTCCCCTCTCAAACTGGTTATAATTTTTAGACACAGCCCAAGAAAAACCATTCCGATACTTGTCTGTTTTACTGTTTCATCCCTAAGCTTTGAATTGATTTGTCCATGCCCTATCCACGCTATGAACATGTGACACCGCTCCCTCCGCCCACCATCAAATTATCAACACTCCTTCCTTTCCCGGGAGCATTTCCCATTGAGCTGGATGTTCACTGGGAATCTCACGTGAGGTCTATTTGAAAGCTCATTTTGGACCCAGCAGGATGGCTGTCGATTGCCTCTCTGTGAGCAAAGTGTCCGGATTATGGGGATAAGGAAGAGATTATTTAAATAATTATAGACTAATAGCCAGAAAACACATGTTTTAAGAGGAATAATATGCTCACACTGGGCTCATTGATCCCACAGGCCAAAATAGCCCCAACACGCATTTGTCACACATCAAAGCCTTCTGCCTTTGCACCGCCATCTGTGGATCACCTTGGACCCTCACAGACCCTCCATAGACCTGCTTGAGAGCCACTTGGCCTCCATTCTTTTCCCACCCTTTATTTCTTGTGCAAAGGCCCTGAGGCAGGAGAGTATTTGGCATATCTGAGTGACAACGAAGAGGCCACTGAGGCTGGAATGGGTTGGGGGAGGGGAGGAAGGTGGGACATGAGCCTGGCTGGCCCCAGAGTATAGCCTGGATTCATCCCACTGTGACACAGGCCAGTGTCACAGGCGTGGGCACTGTCTGCAGGAAGCCACTTAACCCGGGGGCTCAATGGCAGGCTCTGTGTTTCCTTCAGTGGGAACCCGGCAGGCAGAAAACCGGTGAGTGCCAGCCAGCATGCCCTGTGCCTACCCGCAGGCAGAGCCTCTCCCCAGAGCTGGTCTGTGCTAGAAGCTTACGGCGTGTTTCTGTCCTTGTGCACAGGAATCCGAGCGGCTGGAACTCATGAACGCCGAGCTAAAGACCCAGATCGAGGAGCTGAAGCAGGAGCGGCAGCAGCTCATCCTGATGCTGAACCGGCACCGCCCCACCTGCATCGTCCGGACCGACAGCGTCAAGACCCCCGAGTCAGAAGGCAACCCGCTGCTGGAGCAGCTCGAGAAGAAGTGACCATGGGCTGGGAGGAGGAAGAGGACGAGGAGGAGGAGGAGGAAGAAAAGAGACGAAGAGGGGGGAGGAGGGGGCTCCCAGAGGGCCCTTCCTTGGTGCATGACAAACTATGCGATGAGGTTCAGCACAGCCAGCGTCAGCCGGGCTTTTTTGTGAAACTCAGATCAGCCACACCAGGGGAAGAGCGGGCTGAAGAATCCCAGAGGGACCAAGCGCTGAGACCAAAGTCGACCTGGGGGTAGGGCTGTCCTGCCTGGGGCCCAGCTTGAAGGAGGCAGGACAGAGGCGCCTGGGCCAGAGAGATGCCCAACCTCGGGCACATCTCCAGCCTCTCCGCCAGGACACCCGCCCGAGGGACCTCCGAGCAGCCAGGAAAAGCCATGAGTTGCAACCAAAATGCGGCTGAGGATGGAACTCAGAATGCAACTGCAATCCTCCTGCCCCGCCCCTGGTGCCTCGCTGGAGAGGGGCGTGCTGGGACCCTGACACCTGCCTGCCTCGGTCCAGTGCGGCCCTGCCCGGGACGCGGCAGCTGGGCGCACCCTCGCCGGCCCTGCTGGAGTTTGCTGTGGGCACTGAGGCGCGGGCGCCCTTCCAAAGCACATACTCACTGAATGTTTACAGACTGGCTGTCCGAGCAGGGCTTTCAACTGCACATGTTTTTTATACTTTTTTTTTTTAATATTTTTTACAAAAAAAAAGATTTTATACAAGCAATATATATATGGATTTCTATAATCACTCGATGTGATACAGTATAAATATGCTATGGTTTGTTTGTTAAGAACAGATATCCAGCAGTTATGGCCGTTGTGTGTAACTTCTAAGTACTGTAGTCTCTGGGTGTCGGGGTGGCCGGGGCGGGGGTGGGGGTGTTTCCATCCTTGTAAACCCTTCATAGTACTCAGTCCTGTATCGCTCAGTAAACATCGCTCTTACTTACGCAGCTGCCTCGCGTGGTGTGTGCCCAGGGAGTGGGGTGCCAGGACCGCTCAGGGTCAGGGAGTGTTTGCAGCACCGGCTGGAAGCCCTTAGTCTTCACGACAGCCCTCCCATCTTACAGGTGAGGAAGCTGAGACTCAGACAAGTTAAAGCAATCTGCAGTTACCATTTTGGGAGCACTTAGTTTATTCGCTCATTCCACAGATGTTTACAAAGAGCCTCGGGCGTGTGCCAGGCATTCTACAGGGCACTGGGCATTCACTACAGAATGAAGCGAACCCAGGTTTTGTGCCCATGGAGCGTACAGCAACGAGGCCATCTTGTGCTTGCCTCATGCACTGTCTCGTTTCATCTCTACCACAGCCTGGCCAGGGAGCAGCTATTGTCCCCATTTCACAGATGGGAAATTAGAGGCCCAGGAAGATTAAACTTGCAGCCACCGTTTGTGGAAGACTTATTGTGTGACAAGCATGTGTAGTCTCACATCTCATAACAGCACAAAATAGATACTATTTCTTCCATTTGACAAATGACTTAACTGAGGCTCAGAGAGGGTAAGTGACTTCTCCAAGGTCACCCTGCCTGCAAGGGACAGAGCTGGTGTTTGAACTTTGCCTCTAAAGGACCATGACTCTGGGCCCATGACTCTGACTCCTGTCACCAGCTAACTATGTGATTGTCCCTGTGGTTGAATGTCTCACCTGAATAGAATAGGAAACTTGTGACACCACAGTCATAGATCTTGTTTCTGGGAAGGCTGGGTGGAGTTCCAGGCTGTCGCATGATCGCAGAGGGAAACAGCTACCCTGGGAAATGTGTGCCTGACCCAGGGGAGAGGGTACAGATGGCTCCCTACTCCCCCACCCCAGGTGAATGCCTAGAGCAGGACAGCTCAGTGCCAGTCACACGATTGGCGCGGTTTACCTTGCGCTTGCAGTCACGGGGCATTCTCGTGCATGTTGTTTCCTGTGATACTACAGTGCTCTGGGGCAGGTGGGATGGGAGTTTTAGCTCCCTTGTATGCTAAGGCTTACAAAGGTTAAAGTTTACCTGGATAAACACATGGAGAACTGGGAGCTGACCCCCACTCTCCTGCCTTCTAATCGTACGTCCTTTCTCCTCTGTCGTGGTGCTGATGATGAGCTTCGTGTCAAGAACAACAATGACCTTGGGTCGCTTCCCAAATCACGGACGAGGCCTTCTGAGATGGACTGAAATCGAGAGTAGCTCATTAACACATCTTTAGCCACTCACTCATCTCAGGTTTCCCCCACCCAATCTGCTTGGCCTGGCCTCCCTGAGCCCTGCCCTGGAAACAGCTCACGGTCAGCCACGGCAGCCCACAGTGAGCCCTCGGGCTACGATCCTTCGACGTTTTTCAAGCCATGAGAAAAATGAAGATGTGGACTTACAAGGGCCCTTCCAGTGACCAGACAGATATTCCTGCAGGACGCCTGCCTAACACTAGCCGTGGCTCCCCCGGTCCCATGCTCGGGTGCCATGAGCCAGCATCTCCAGGGTAGAGCCCTCCTTACCCTGCGCAGGTGGGCTGTCTTCTGAAGTCACCAAATCGGTGACTTGTGCTGTGCTGAGCTTGCCCATGGTGTTTCCTTCCTCACCAAGACCACCGCCCCATCCTGCAGGTAGTCAGAAGTCACGATTACAGTCTTCTTCGTAAGAGCTAGTGTTCGTGTACTCTCTGTGTATCTGCCACGGGACATGTGTTACCTTAGCTGCTTCGTACGACCTTGCTGGGAGGGAGGTACTACCACCCCCATGTTTCAGATGAGAAAACTGAGGCACAGAGAGAAAGTAACTCGCCCAAGGTCACAGACCTACCAGGTGGCAGAGCCAGGAGGCTATTGCAGTCTGACTCCAGCTGTATAGAACCTGGGGCTGAACCTCACCACGAGAGGAGGTGTTTGTGATGTGACCTCAGTTGCCAGGGGCACTTGTGCAGGAGGCTGGGAGAGATGGCACAGACCCACCTGTGCCCACAGTACACATTAAGAATTCTCAGCTCCCAGACACGCCATCTCCAAGTGTGTACCGAAGACATACTTTAAAGGCAAACAGGTTCAAGATTGAATCTTCCATTGACTATTAGCCTCATTGTTCGTATCTGTGAAGTGGGAACAGTGATAATCCAAGTCTTTTTTATGGAGTTGTTGTCAGGATCAAAAAAGGAATGGCTATAAAAGTGTTTTGTGAAATATAAACCTCCATAAAAATGGTAATTATTGTGCCCTCTGCTAGCGTGCGTAGCTGTTGACATAGTACAAATTGTTTAAATATCTTTTATTCTCTAAAGGTGGGTTGCAGAGCTTGTGTTCTGACTATGCACCAGTCCCCATGGTGTGATGAATGCCTGGAACCCAAGGGTTCATTCGGCTCTTGATGGGCCACAGTCAGCTGTGCTGGGCTCACCATCCCCTCCCTGGGTGTCAGTGTGTCCTTCTGCCAGGTGGTCATAAGTAAGGCCTGTGTCACCTCTGCCCAAGGTTCTTGTGAAAATCAGTGGAGTTCTTGTATGTAACCGTGGACTGAGAAGGACAAGACCCTTGGCAATCCGATGGGCAGAAACTAACATGTGTTGATCACAATACGGATTAAAGTAAGCTTACATATGCTGCCAGTAGGAAATTGGTGAGACTACTGTGTGTAAAGCAATTTGGAAATAACCAGTAATGCCAAAGCTAAACACATCCTTTGACCTAGCAATTTCCCTCCTAAGTATATCCTTGGGAGGAACTCTGGCATAAGGGCACCAGGAAATGTACAAGAATGTTCACTGATGCTGTGTTTGTATCAAAGAAAAATTAGAAACAAACTAAATACCTATAAACATGAGAACAGATAACCAAATTTTGGTGTTTTCATGACATCAAATGTTATTCAGTGGGTTAAAAAGAATGCATCAGAGCTACATGTATCAATGTGAATAAATCTCAAACACACATGGTTGAGCTGGAGGGTAGGGGAGCAAATTGCAGAAAGATACCGTTTATGTCGTGTTTCTAAACGTGTAAATTGATACTTTGCTGTTTATGGGTACACACGCATCTGGGTAACAGAGGTATAAAAGCATGCACAGGAATGCTAGAAATATCAAAATCAGTAATGGGGCGTGCTCCTGGCAGACGAGGGGGCAGGGACAGCACCCGACAGGTAAGTAGGACACTGGACTTCAACTATGTGTAACATTTCATTTACTTTTTTAAGTAAATTGATGGGGATCAAACGTAGAATGATGCTAGAATTCGCCAGAGGTGGGTGATGCGCACACAGATGTGGGTTATGTTCTCCACACGCCTCTGTATGCTGGATATATTCTGTAATAAAAAAGAACAAGCCACAATACAAGTAGAAGCTTTTGTTTTTTTCCATTTTCTCCTTAGCAAAGTCAGGAAATAAGAACGAATCTGAGATTACAGTGGAGTTGCAGCATATGCTCTTTGAATTTATGAAAATTTAATATGCCTAGAGGGAGAGAGAAACAATTCAAAGGGTGTGAGGAGTTTAGCTGGCCGCGCCCCTCGGGGAGGGTGCCCTGGGGCGAGGGGACCTTGTTGGTCTGCTCTACACCAGTAGGTCCTGGCCCCTGCCGTCTACAGGATGGGCAACTCGGGCATGTTCAAGGTTAATTTGGACTGTCTAGACTTTTCAACCCAACCCCGATGTGAAAAGCAGCTCGATGCACCTGTAAGCGGAGCTGTGGGCTGGAAGCAGAGCAAAGGGAGAGCCTGTTAGACAAGAACCCAGTTTTCACAGGGATGTTCGTTTGCTGTTGCTGCTGTAACAGATTACCACGGATTTTATTATCCCACAGTTCTGGATGTTGGAGCCCAAAGTGGTTCTCACTGGGCTAAAATCAAGGTGTCGGCAGGGCTGTGTTCCTTTTGGAGGGTGTGGGGGAGAGTCCACCCTCTTGCCTTTTCCAGCTTCTAGAGGCTGCCCGCATTCCTCAGCTCACAGCCCCCTTCCACCTTCAAAGCCAGAGACAGCCGGCAGCGCCTTCCTCACACCCCGTTACTCTGACTCTGACTCTCTCCCTCCCTCTTCCATCTTTTAAGGACCCTTGTGATGGCACTGGGCCCACGTGGATAATCCAGAATAATCTCTTTATCTTAAGGTCAGCTGATTAATTCCATCTGCAACCTTAATTCCCTCTTATCATGTGACATAACAATTCACAGGTTCCAGAGATTAAAATGTGGACATCCTTGGGGAGGGGGGCGCATTATTCTGCCTATCACAACCAGAAATTAAGAGTTGCATGTTTTCAGCTATGACCTTTCTCACTACTAGGCAAGAGAGACTGTATTTGCCATGTAAGCGCCATGAGGATGGAGTCCCTGCACCGTGCACACTGCCCTCCCCCTCCCCCTCCGCCCCGTGCCTGGCACAGTGATTGGCACATTGCAGATGGTCAATACACACAATATACACAGACACACACACCAACTCACAGATGGATAATACAGTGCAGACCCAGACAAACACAGTTACATGCACAACATGGATCCATATGTAAATACACAGATACGTTTATTCGCAGATACATGCAGATACACACATTAAAGTAATGAAACTGTTGCTTGTCTTACTCTTTTATATTATAGTTCTGAAATTTTGAAATGCACTGGTTCATCATACTGGGATATATTCTTTCTTTGGGAATAGCTAACTTAGGGTTAATAAGGAGGTTAATTAAACTGGGCATACCGTTTTGGCTTAAAAATTAAATAGTGTGAGAGACTGATTTTCTTGTTTGGCTCCTAACTGTCTCTGTGGGCAATTCCTAAAGAAGCGACTCCCAATGCTTTGGACTATTTGTAGCATAATCACATTTGAGCATCAGCCTCAACCGCTCTAACGGATAGGACTCGTCTGGGTGATCTGTGTTGGATACCTGTTGCACTCCATTTAAAATCCTCTGACTCCAGCTCTATCGCATGACCGGTTCTGAACAGGTGAGCAACTTTACACAGGTGCAACCT